TAGATCCCAAGCTGCAACCAATTACATGCTTATCTGGGAGACTCAAAACATTTAATATTTTTATTTGTGTATTTGCTCATCTACAAATCAACATCAATATTAAGGTAGCCATCAAGAATATTTTAATTTGATGAATAGATAGAGATTTATTCTGAGGCTTCTTTATTGCTTTTTCTTTTCTAACAAAAAAATTAATTGTTTTTCATAATGTTATATCTACCAAATAAGCAATTCTACATTGTGTGCCTCAAATGCAGCTAAGTAATCACTACATAAGAGCATGCCCTTCTAATGTTATTGCTGAAGCTTCTTTAAATATCAATTGGCATTAAGTTGTAGCAAGTTTGAGGGAAGAAATACAAGCCCACCACTCAAACTCAATAATTAAATGTGGCATCTAATTTTTTATAAGTAATTTCTTTTCATATTTCTTAGAAATTTGCTTATGATTAACCTTTATCCTTATGACAAATATTTACATATTTGCTTTAGCTATTGGAGCTAGAGTCCTTTAAGTCTAATTTTTTCTTAAGTGGCTTCTTTTTTTTTGTGATGCTTCTATTTTTATTCTTGTAATTCTCCTTGTCTTTGACCTTCATTGTTGAATCAACAATAAGGTATTGGCATTCTCTTCTCATATATTCATGTTTTTTTTAGGTGCAATAAGTTATTAATTTTCCTACAAAAAAATTATTATAAAGTTTATGAGCTTTAGATTTTTCATATGTTCACTTTTTCTTCTTGAGCAAGATTCTAAGCCTTTTTCAAAGCATATCAACATTATTGTTATCACCATTTAAGCCTGCAACGCTAGACTTACCTAGATCACCTACCCTTACAAAAATATTATTCTATTTCTTTTCTCCTTTATAAAACTGTCATCCTTATCTATTTGAGATAGTACTTACACATGAACTATCAAAGATCAAAGACACCAAAGTTGATCAAATGGATAAATAGATTTGTTTATTTTATATTAATACTAGCATCATGCTCTTTTTTAAGGCATCTAATAATCTCTTAGATTTAATTTTAGTAAACCCTAAACCCTAAACAACCCTAGTGCACTTATATTGAGCTATTTGAAATGATTCCATGGCCACTTCAATCTAAGTAAGTATGTGCTCATCATGCAAGAAATGTTGCAGTTTTAAATTGAGTAATCTTAATACAAATGTAGTTGTGAGACATTTAGTAAATACATGTATTATCATTAATATCGAGTTACCAAATATTAAATTTCATAAGACTAATTTTTTCTCTTTTTAATGATTGATGAGCTCACAAGAAAACTCTAAAATATCTCTTTAGTCATTTTTTAATGCAATACATTTGAAATTACGTAATGCTCCTTTGGTTTAAATTACTTCAACATTTGTTTGAAATTTAATATTATATCTCACTTGAGCATCATTTATGATATATTTAATATTTGTTTCTCTACATATAGGGCATGTTGTTATTTTTTAAAGATTAACTTCGTGGTGATTTCTTAGCTTCACTACTCATACATTTGTTGTCCTAAATTGATTTTGTATAAGCGGTATGTTTAAACTGTATTTTGTTTTTGTTCCTAGTTGCTTATCATTGTGGCGGGGCTTAAAATCTATGCATGTTATATCTAGTAAAATATTTTATTTAAACTTTTTCTCCTTAATTATTTTTGAAATAAAAAATAAATCACTTTTTTAATTAAATAGATCCTATAACATATCTCGTTTGTTGTGTAGGGAGAGCCAAACATTATTTTGTTACTTGTGATCATTTGCATGGCTTGTAACATTTGAAATTGTTAAAGTGATAAATTTATTTGTAATAATCTATCTAGTGTCACTTTTATATTTCACATTTCAAGTGGCAATTAACATCCATGGACAATAGCTTTGGATATTAAATTTTATCAGTGCTTCCTTTAAAATTGTTTTCTATTTTTGCATCTTTTTTATTTCTTCTTTATTTTTTTATTTTTTATTTTTTATTTTAATGGTTTAGTTGTTTCCTGTTTCCCAATTTGAATTTTTTTCTTGTGTTTTATAGAGGTTATTGTTTGTGTGGGTAGATTTTTTTGTACTCTTTCGTATGTTAGAACTTTGGTCCGCATAAGCATGTTTCATATGACTAAAATACCTTGTTATTCTTTCTATATATATGAAATATTTTGAATTGTAGCTAGAGCATCTCTGTATGGCTTCTCACATTGTGGATGTAATTGCTTGGAGACTTGTGAAAATGAAGATCTCTTAAAGAGATATTCATTTGATGGCTTGGCTTTGAATCTCTTATAAAAATATTTTTGTTAGGATTTTTGTACTTCTCCTTTTCAGCTATTTTATCACATATGTCATACAATGGTTTTGATTTTATTATATTATTAAGTTGTTTAGACTATGACTAATATTAGTTCGCTTATACAATACTCTATTACATTATTTAGTTATTTTATTACATATGTCTCATATGGATGCATTGTGGATGCCTCTTCCATCTCTTAGGCTCTTATTTATCTTGTGTAATTAAAACATCTTGGAATTTTTATTTAATTTTAACATCACTTCCCACTGATTGTTGATGTATTTTGAAAATTTACTACATGCTTTGTTTTGAGCCTTCTTTCTCCTAAAACAATCACTTAGAGGCTATTTGATTGGTGCTATTAGGGATGCATTATGTTCCTTTTACATTCATATGACTTTATTTCAATGTTACTTTTCTTAAAAAAAATAATAATAAATTTATAGTGAAATTTTGTGGTATTAAGAACACCTAAGGATCATTCTGTATATATACCAAAATCAAGCGATTTTTAAATATACATAAAATTTATGATCTTCACTAAATCTTGATTTCATGCTCTTCTCCATCAATGTCATTGAGAACCTTCCATCGTCTATGACTTCGCTACTTGCTTTGATTCATTTTCCCACATTATCATTAGAGCCCAAACTCATGTCTTGCTCTATCTCCTTCATTAACGACCTCCCTTGATCTTATATCAATGTTAAAAACCTTCCTCCACCTCTCCTAGTTTGTTTCATCTTTCTCTATTATCGCTAGTTCTACCATTCTATTCCACCTGAATTTTAATAGTGTAATTTGGTGGTTCATGAGTCAAGCTTAAAATTAACTTGAAAATGACCCAACATAAATATAATCAATGCGACCAGATTGTTTATTAAGTGGCCAAAAGTTTCAACATGAACCCGACTCAACTAAACCTAAATCCAACCCATCTAACATAAAAAAAGAAAAAAAAATATTTTAGTTATGTCAGATTAGTGTCAACTCAACCTGAAATGGACATGATTACTCGATTTAAATATATCGGCTTTAAAAAATAACTAGTAATTCCAATTTCTAAATGGTTAAATCATTACTTCCAAGATATAGAAAAATAAATGTTTAAATTGAAAATAAATTTTGTTCTTTTTGATGAGTACATTGCAAATGTATGATTTTAGAGTTTTATGTATGAATGAACACATTGAAAAAAAAACACAGCTCAAAATTGGTCAGTAGTAACTCGTGGTGATGACCAACCAACAGAGGAGGCTGAAGAAGGCTAGTGATAATGGTGGTGATTGACAGCTATGATCAGTGGTGACTAATCGTTAGTTGTTGACATTAGTTGGCGGTTTGTGGCAAGAGGACAGTGGGAGGCAACAACAATTAGTTAGTCGATAATAGTCAATGACGTCTCAAGAGGTGGTTGTGGTGGCTACAATGACTGTAATGGTTAGAAATGTTGCCACAAATAACTGTATTTTGCAATATAATTGAAAATCACCTCAATTTTATAACTTTAAATACATTGAAAATAAACTAAAAATCTTATTTAAAATTCATTACAAGTAATAATTCATTTTTTTTTCTCAACCTAGATATCCAAAATTTAAAAACCCATACACTTGAAATATCAAACCCATTTGCAGCACTACAAATAGCCTCTTAATATTTTAGCATGTAATTCATTTTGTTCTTGAGCTATGTACAGTTATAATTTGTTCATATTATTTGATTTACTTGTACATTTTTTAAATTCATTTTTTCAATCAAAACTTTAATTTATTTGATCATGACACTCATAAATTTGCTGGTAGGTAGTTCAAAAAATCATATGAATATCCCAATTCCTTATTTTATTTGTGTGTCTGCTATAAATTTATAATTAGAGAAAAATTAAAAAAAACATGTGATTGATTTTGAAATATAATTTAGTTTAATTCCATAAAAATCTAAGCCTGTCATATCTATACAAGTCAGATTGTAAGCTTTGAAAGCATCAGCCTCCTGCTGATATTTTGTTAGCAACAATAAGTGCGAAAAAGAAAAGAAACACCAATTGAGTGAATGTTAGGGTATATTTGGGGTAGTAAAAACTGATAATCTAATTAGAAAGCTGCTCCAATTAGAAAGTTGTCACCACACTTAGCCAGAAATAATATGAAAATACTGATTTCAGGGGTTTGAAAACACAGTTTTTTCGAAAAAAACTATCAAAACACAGTTTACCGAAACTAGCCTGGGTGCGTTTTCAAACCGCATCGCACCAAATAAGCTGCCCCAAAAAAGGGTTAAATTAATTCATAGAAATTGATGATATTTATTGATATTTGATAGTACATCACTATACTATTGTCACAATATTATCATGGGCGGAATCGGTCATTATTTTTATGGGAGTCAAACTACACATACAGCCAATGTGGGAGTGATTAGACAACGAAGGGCAAAAAGATTTTTTTAGGAGGGACAAAACTGATATTTTAAGAGAGATAAGAAGCCAAATTATCCTTTTGTATAAGTAAAAAAATCTAATTTTAAGAGTAATTACTCAATAGACCCTATCTAAATTAGCCCTAAATTTTATTAAATATCATCAAATTGACATCTATTAGTATCTCCTACCTATCTTATTCAAACATAATAATTTTTTTCATTAGAGAACCCCCGCCTATATCAATCGATTTGCTCATGTTACTTTGTTCGTCCCTTTCTGGTCTTAAATCTATTTTTCCGTGGCTTAGACTTCTCCCAAGGGAGAGTGAGGCCAACTCACAAGGAACTCATGGAGGAATGCTTCCGGCACCCGCCCGCACGCAATCTCCCCACTCCCTCCTCCCTATAACAGCAGCCCTTCTCCTTCCTCCTCCTCTGAAACTCCGTCGCGCCGCCACCCACCATGCCTCTCTGTGCCTCCTCTCTTTCGTTTTCTCCCTCCATCAGATGGAGACCCAGTTGCTCCACTGGGATGACGGCTCCGGAGAAAAATTCTCAGCGGTGCGATCGAGCCGCTGAGTTAACCTTTCCTGATGGGGATTTGGGCCCCGTCCGAAAGTTCAGGATGTCGGATTTTGCCTTATGCGATCGTGTAAGCGTCGGCCTCCAAGGCAGAGTGCGTTCCTGTCTCGTTAAGGTTTAGGGTTGGGTTTATTGGCTTTGGAAAGCGGATGGATTCGATTCATATATGTTTGCATATTTTGTAGAGGGACGAGGTGATCTTTGAGGCCACGGTTAGGGATTCGAATAGGTGAGTGGAGTTTGTGCTTAGCTTGGTTGGCTTCTCATTAGAAGATCGCAAGTAAAATTTTCCGAATTGTTGGGATTTTGAGAACTGTGCAGCCCGTTGTACAACTCGAGGGTGGTGCTTCGAGATCTAACTAGTGTACAAGCGAAGCGGCGAGGTAGACGAGCATTGGAGGTGGGGAGCTTGTTAAGAGTTTTTGTTTTCACATGCCGGCGAAAGCCAAACGAGACGTTTGACGCGTACATTTTCCTGTATTTTGTCTGAAGGTTTTGAAGAAACTTGTTCGGCGGCAGCTCATGTATCACTCTTATGCGATGCAAGTTCATGGTTATGTTTCCCCATCAAGTGGCGAGGAGGGAGATCACTTCATCCTGGTACATAGTGTAAGAATCTATGATCCAGTTGAGTTTGATGTCCATTTGAGTAGATTTGTTGATTATGATGACATTTCAAGGATTAATTGATTTCTGATCCTTCTCTTTATTGTGATTTCTCATCTGTAGAAATTGAATTGAGTCAGTCTCTACTTTGATATGTTTGCTCTCTTATTATCATATGTCAGAATGAGAAGTGTTTTGAGCTTTTTATTGCCTCAGGTTTCTGCAGGGTGAGTTGCTTGAGGAGTCTAATGAGTGGAGTATAAGTGTAATTGGGTCCCGCAACATATAAAAACTAAAAAAAAAGCTTGACCCGACCCGAATCAACACAGAAAATTTAATAGGTGCGTTTATCGTGAACCCGACTCGAATTAAATCCCGAAATAGACAAAAACTTACTTTATGTTAGATTCGGCGTTTTTGGAGCCTTTCCTTCTTCGACATTCGACTTCTTCCTTCTTCAACATTCGACTTCTTCCTCCTTCGGCTTCGGGCCTCTTCCTTCTTCAACTTTTCCGGCTTTCTTCGGCACTTCGGACGACAGTTTGTCTTCGGCGGCAGTGGTTCTCCATTCGGACGGCTGGTGGTGGTACTCCATTCGGTTTCAACTCTTGAAAACGGAAGGTAGGTTACGCAATACTCATTCCAAATATTAGTGCTTAGTCGTTTGATGGCAACAACTAGCGATTTATTTTCTTTCTCATTGTAGCACACAAATGGAAGGTCGCCAGGGAGCCGAAGAAGAACCTAACGGTCTCCCGAAGTCGTTGAGGTAACTACATCGTTTATTTTAAAATAAAAGTTGAAGTTTTAGTCGTGTTATTGTAGTATTATAGTGGTGTTATAGTCGTATTATTGTGTGATATTGTGTGTTATTTTGTGTTATTGTTGTGTTATGTTATTTAGAGATGCATTCTAAATGTGTTATTGTGTGTTATAATTGTGTTATAGTTGTGTTATTGTGTGTTATAGATGTGTTATTGTGTGTTAGAAATGTGTTGTTGTGTGTTATTATTGTGTTATGTTGATATAATGGTGTTATAAATGTGTTATTTTGTATTGTTGTTGTGTTATGTTATTATAATTGCGTTATAGTATAGATGTGTTATAGTGTGTTTTAGTGTGTTATTATTGTGTTATTGTTGTGTTATAGTTGTGTTATTAATGTAACACAAACATAACACAATGATAACACAATGATAACACATTCATAACACACGATGACACAACATTAACATAACAGTAACACGAGAATACCATAATAATAAAACAAATAGTAACACATAATCTGTAACATATAGCTGCTATTATCCGTACAAACCTTTCATTTCAAGATAAAAATTTCAGTTTTAATACACGATGACTGCATGGTTCTCATTTCAAGATAAATCTTTAGTTTTAATCTTCTTTGAGTTTGACCAATAACTGCTATGATCCGTACAAACCTTTAGCAATGATATACCAGGATAAAATCTTCAGTCATCGATAACATCTTGCATCTCATGTGGTATTAATGATCTATCAGGATATTCTATGTAAGATGCCGCAATACGAGGCTGCAGAATAAAAAAATAAATTATAAACACTAACTAAAAAGTTAAAATATAAAGGGGTTATTTTTTTTTATCACTACCGCATAGCTCTCAACAATGAAATTGGTGCTCTGGCTAGTGATCACTATTGGATTGCTTTGCATTCCCTTGTTAATTATAGGGGTAACTAAACCACCGGGCGTCAACGCAATCTGTTCAAGATTTTCTTCAACCTGAGCCGGAATTGTCTCTGCCTCAAATGATACAACAACTGACACTATTATTGATTGAGGTTCTTGAAAAAAAGGCTGTACTGGATTTATTTCCGGTTGTTGGCTCTTGTGGGGTTCAGTAAAAACATCACTCTGAACAAAAAACAGAAGTTTTTAAACAAAAAATCAGAAGTTTTTTAAACAAAAATACATAAGTTTTTAAATACTATAAAATAAGCTGTTTACCGTAAGGGGCACAATATCAAGAACATGATATGTTGTTCGTTCAAATTCATGGGATACCTCCGACAGTATCGAATCCCCTGCTATAACATTGTCCTGAGCAGCATTTATTTGATCTTGAGGTTCTATATCTACAATGGACGACACATTATGAACCTACCAAAAAAACAAAAAATTGTTAAAACTTGCAATTAAGATAGAATCAACTACTCAAGGGAAAAAAATGATAAACTTATCGTATGGGACAGAGAATTGAGAAGGTCCCGAGCAACAAAAATTTCAGCTGGCTCTTCGTTGTGAACTGGTAAATTCACATTAATTCAGTTCTTTTTTTTTTCTCATCTATGTACCTACTCTTTCGGCGACTTGTATGTTCTTTATCGGCTTTAAACTCTTCTAACCTCTTAACAATAGTTTTGAGGGTGAACTATAAATCTTCAACATTAGCCATTTTTTTATTCATGGCAATCATAGATTCCTATAAACTTAAACTTATTTGTTGCTGAGATTTAAGTAGCTCGAATATTGCTTCAAGTTCATTACCTTCTATCGCATGTGTTGCTTCTGGGGTTACCCGCTTGAAACAATTGTACCAACACCATGGGATTTGGGTGATGACGGTCCAACTAGAGTTTCACGATGACTAATACAAGGAAGAGTCATAGCAGGGCTTGGTGGTCCATAATAATACAAGGAAGAGTCATAGCAGGGCTTGGTGGTCTATACTCAGGATTGGACAACAAGTTGAGCTCATCTTCCTTCAAGTCGATGAATGTGTCATTAACCTACAATATAAATCACAATGTTTTACATATATTTAGTAAATCAATATGGAAACTTATCCATATAAAATCTTATAACAAATAAATTTATTTACTTGCACATGATCGAGCACCCTAAAGGCTTTATGAATCTGTGCTCCTGTTCACCCATAAATTTTTTGCCACCTCAGCATTCGTGGTCTAGCCTCAGGTGCAACGGGAGTAAAGAGAGTTGTGTGCTCAAAGAACCAAAGCTGCAGATAACACATCAAAAATCATTTTGTCATAATGCAAAAAAAAAAAAGAATTAGTGAAAAGGAAAATTCTTAACTGTAGAAAATATGAACTTACAGATAAAAGAAATATAAAACCACTTATGTAATCAAGTGACTGATTTCGCCTTATTTTGATTGCAATAAAGTTCATTTGATCAATCATATAATTACAGATAGCAACAGACCAGTTAAACGAAGAGAAGCTCTGTACGTTCTCTCCAAATGCATAAAAACTTGTAGGCATGCCGAAATTGCTCGAGGGAAAGAATAAATTTGTCAATAAAAATTATAGAAATAGTTTCTCAAAAGGAGTGAAAGACTCTCCTGAAAACTTAGTCACATCTTCCTTTATGACTCTCGAATCTACATGAGATGGACTTTTCCTCCAACTAACAGATTCTCCCCTGTTGGGCATGCCTAACAAAAGCGCCACATGGTCAGCGTGGAATTTTAACAACTTCTCACCCATCACAAAAGCTCTTCTTTCATTATTTCAAAATCCCATGATATGTAGAGTCAATACATTATCTTGGGGATAAGAAGGTATGTCAAAAAACTGACTGACATTGATATCTCTTAAAAAAGTCATTGTTTCCTCAGGTACAATGTCTCTAACAGTATTGAGTGCACTCTTCACTACGGAAGGACGATATCTACAACTGAACGTTCTTGCGTTCATATACCTACAAAAGAAAACATAAAGAAATATTATTTTATAGATAACAATCTCCATTCACTAGTTTAAAAATGACTCAAATGTTATTATTAGAAGTTATTGTCGGGTTACATGTGTTATTGTAGTGTTAAATGTGTTATTGAAGTGTTACATATGTGTTATTTATGTGTTATATGACTGAAATAGTTCAGTTTTTGTTATATTACAGATGAGTTATTATGTGTTACTGTTGTGTTACAGTTGTGTTATCATCGTGTTATTATTGTGTAATTGTTGTGTTATTATTATGTTATTGTTATGTTACAGATTATGTGTTACTATTGTGTTACTGTTGTGTTATAATTGTGTTACTGTTTTGTTATTGTTGTTTTATTATTGTGTTATTCTCGTGTTACTGTTGTGCTGAATGTGTTATCATTGTGTTATGAATGTGTTATGCTTGTGTTACACCAATAACATAACTATAACACAACAATAACACAATAATAACATACTAAAACATACTATAACACATATATAACACATCTATAACATAATTCTAATAACATAACACAATAATAATATGAAATAACACATCTATAACACTATTATATCAACATAATACAATAATAACACATAATAACACATTTATAACATACAATAAAACATCTATAACACACAATAACACAACTATAACCCGATTATAACACACAATAACACATTATAGCACATCTATAATGCATATTTAAATAACATAACACAACAATAACACAAAATAACACATTTATAACACAATATCACACAATAATACGACTATAACACCACTATAATACTACAATAACACGACTAAAACTTCAACTTTTATTTTAAAATAAACGATGTAGTTACCTCAACGACTTCGGGAGACCGTTAGGTTCTTCTTCGGCTCCCTTGCGACCTTCCATTTTATGTGCTACAATGAGAAAGAAAATAAATCACTAGTTGTTGCAATGAAACGACGAAGTACTAATATTTGGAATGAGTATTGCGTAACCTACATTCCGTTTCCAAGAGTCGAAACCGAATGAAGTTCCACCACCAACCGTTCGAATGGAGAACCATTGCCGCCGAAGACAAACCGCCGTCCGAAGTGCCGAAGAAAGCTGGAAAAGCCGAAGGAGGAAGAGGCCTGAAGCCGAAGGAGGAAGAAGACGAATGCAAACCGACAAAAGGCTCCAAAAACGTCGAATCTGACATAAAGTAAGTTTTTGTCTGTTTTGGGATTTAATTCGTGTCAGGTTCACGATAAACACACCTATTAAATTTCCCGCGTTGATTCGGGTTGGGTCAAGCTTCTTTTTTAATTTTATATGCTGTGGGACCCAAATCCACTTGTGCTCCACTCATTGGACTCTGCAAGCAACTCATCTTGCGGAGTCCTGAGGCAATAAAAATTCTTATTAGCACATTGTCGTTGAGGCTTTGATTCCTGAATTTGTGTGAAATTGATTGTTTTTTTTATTAAAAGAAAACCAGAAAGTAGGGTG